ATTATACGACATGAACCATTGGGGTTAGTTGCATAGCTTCCTTTAGGGACTCCCCACAGAACAGGATTATAACTTTTTATTGAAAAAAAAAAAAGTGAGAGCAAAATTTTAAATTTTTAGAAGAAAACAAATTTTAGAATCAAGAATTAAAGAGCATGAATTAGAAATTTAGAATTACCCCCAGTTGTATCCATCCTCATTTTGGATGGCTGTGATGTACTCCTGTTGCTGAGGTGAATCTGGTGGCAGAGATTTGAGCATCTCCATATCTAATCTTTTTCATTGCAATCCAAATCATAAAATCATACACTGTAAAATCTGAATGATAAGAAAGAAGGAAATGAAGAGTTTTTCTCACCTAAAGACTTCCATTTTTCCTTCTCATCATCAACATCTCCAAAGTGAAAAGTTGGAAGTAGATGAACATGTGTGAGGCCAGCATCTGATAATTTTTTCAAATGAAGTACACCAGCCGAGTCCTTCAACAAAATAATGTTTGAACTTTATATTATTTAAAATCTTTAATAAAAAAGGATCAACTATGTTTGTATTAAACCTACTTGAGAAGTGAAGGCAAGATAACCTCCTCGAATTTCTGGATCTACTGTAGAGTCATTAGCACTGTATGAAATCATATGTTAGATCAAGAACAAGGACAATTTTGTCATTTTACATACTAAAATACGGGTTATGCTATATGGCATACCTAAAATCTCTAACATGCAGTTCATAGATACTAATGTCAGAAAAATCTGCAATATTAGGTTTCTCGTCTGCTAAATCATCCCATTTCTGAGGTTTTAAAGCATCAGAATCAAGATTGACTAAAAAAGTCCGCTTCCCATCACCTGAAAGCCTACCAAAACAACAACAACATGAGCAAAAACACAAGATGAGGGTGCTGTAAAATTACAGACATACCCTCTGGCATAAGGGTCATTTGCAATACACTTTTCTATCTTCAAGGTGCTCGGATGGTAGACAGATACTTCATATACATAATAACACCCCTCCCAACTTCTTGGACCATTTACACTCCAAACACCATTGGATTCCTTAAGATTGACAATCTCAAGTGGTTCTCCGCCTAAGGGTCCATTATAAATAAATGCACGTACATCCTGTTTTATGAACCCGAGAACTTCCATCAACAACTTTAACATATTTCAAAAAAAAAAAAAGATAGAAAGTTGATAATTAAAGTAAGTTATACTTGAGCAGTTGGAGCCCAAAGATGAAGTGAGACAACTTCGTTTAAAAAAATAGCACCAAGAGGACCCGAATAAGAGAAAATGTCATCAAGAACACCAGGTAGCTGTAAACCAGTAACACTAATGCATTGTCCACTTGCTGCACAAAGACACAAAGTTTGTAATTAAATCTTTGAGCCAAAAAGGGAAATGGCAACATAAATACTTACAGTCAAAGAAAGCAACAGCTAGTTGGTCTTTAAGAATGCTCTTGGGATCCAAACTTGTGGGAACCTTAAAAGCGTTATAATCTTGTATATGAGGAAACTTATCTCTCGCCTGGAATACTTGATACATTATGGTGGGAAAATTATATAATTATACACTATGAGGTTATCAATCAGATTCTACTAAAAACAATTATCTTACGTTTTCTGGAAGCCTCTGATCATGCCTTTCGAGCTTAATACTGAAGTCGGAGCCTATCAATGGTAAAATTCTAATCATTGAAGATTACGTATTGATTTATAAGAATCCCAGTTTGTGGTAGAGCACATACCTTCAATTCCATTATCTGTAACAGATAGAGCAGCAGATCTACTGGAGTATAAAAAACACGAACCACCAACAGCATCCACATTCCAAGCAATTATTGAAGTAGAGACCCAGTACGCTCGAGAGTACGATAGGCTATCCTGCAATTCATGATACATGGTCAATAGCAATGAGGATGAAGCACCTTCTTTGGATATAACTCTTTTTCTTTTTCAAGTCACGGATTGAAACTATTCAAGCAGGAACTCGTACTTTTTTGTATCTAAATCCCCTTTACAACTACTTTAAATTGTGAATTGGGATTATATTTGAATACCATTTAAAACTACTTTTTGATTATCTTGGAACTCGTTATAAAGTATCCTTAAAATAAATAAATAAATAAAAACATACGGCAGAATGCCGACATATGAGAATAAACAAAACAAAACTAATCAAGGGCACAAAGAATCATACTATTGATGATACAAAGGAACCTGAGGGGGTGACGAAGCGGGGTCCTTAAGTGGCATTGTTGAACTTGAGCAGTAACAATGGTGGGTTGTTGTTCTGCGTTTAGTGATGAGGGGAAGACCATGTCGGAGTTGGGTCGAAAAAACAGTCGGGCGGGTCTTTTTGTTGTATATACGGAAGTGAAATTGGGCGGGCGGAGTACGAGAAGAGATAATAGCAGGAAGTAAAGAAGAAAAGGATTGGCAGGGAATGGACATTTGGGAGATCACTTCAGGATTCTTGATTTTCAGTTATTTAAAACGAACTCCTGTTTGAAACGGAACATGACCCGATCCGACTCCGATTCCGAAAATGAGAAGCTACGCTTTTACGTTTATGCATAATTGCATATGAAATATAACTATATTCTATATATGTAGATCATACACAACTGAAAATAGCCAACGTAATTATCCAGATTGAATACAAATAGTAAGTATGCTGAAAAATGATGTATAAATACACAGCTATTGAGGCTTTCAAGGCATCTAAGAAAGAAACTTATCGCGTGCCAGACTCTCTCTATAATAGGACAATCTAATCAAGCATAAAACTTAATATGTTTCCCATGTGATCACATGAAAATAAAGAACAAGAAGAGGGGGATCCATTTCTTTTTGGTGCTCCAAAATGGCGACAAAACATACAAGGTTTCCAACATCTATAAATTGTCCAAAACAAGAACCCATGTGATAGAAAGGAAGAGCAATAATAGAGGAATTTGTTTTCTTTTTATGCTCCAAAAATGATGTCAAACTAACTATATACATAAGTTTCCATTAACTATAAATTGTCATAGCTCACATAGACGAGTCTAGAACGTAAAACCATATGGTTTACTATTTAAATGATATCGATATAAAATTTATATATATATATATATATATATATATATATATATATATATATATATATATATATATATATATATATACACACCAGTTGCTGTTCCGGGTCGAATCAGATCGTATAAGCAAAAAATAAAATTAAACTTCTTTAAATTGGGACCCGATCCTAAAAAAACTATTTAAAAATTGGACCGTTTAAAAAGAAAAACAAAACTATTTTGGTTAAAAGTGATGTTTGTATACCTCTATTTTGGATAGATTATTTATTTGGGTTATTAAAATATAAAATGTGAGCTTTAAAAATCTTGATTTATTAATATGTTTTGTTTCTAAAACTAAATTTTATTAAGATGGATCACAATTTTTATTTCTATATATCTCTTATTAGAAAAAAAAAATGGTAGGTAAAATGACCTTCTTAATGATACATAAACTCATCATTTAGCCCACGGCCCGTTTTTATACGGGTGTAAAGTGTTTATGGATTTTTGTTAATTGTATTAGCAAAATTACGTAAAAGTACATGTGGGTCTGATAAACCTAGTTTTGATTTATTATTTTTTTAAATTAGATAAAATTGGATAAGTCCATATTGAATTTTTGGATTATTCGGAACTATTTTATCCGGTTATTGGCTTAAATTTTTATATCCAATATAACTGGATTTTGATAGGGTATGATTTGAAAATTTTGGATTATGCAACTTTCATATTTATATTTAAAGAAAAAAAATGAACTCCAACTACATATGCATTTCACGATAAAAAAAATCCATAAAGAAAAAATGGCATCAAGTTTTTTCGGGCATCAAATTTGTATCCGGTGTATCGGATTTATCACCTATCCAGCTATCTTATACCTGGTTATGATAAATCCAGTTTAGATTTTTCGGGTATGTAAAAATCCGGATCCGGTTTGTGCACCTCTATAACCCGTAAGATAAATATGCATAAGTGGATGTTTTCTATTTTTTAGTAAGTGGGATAAGTCCTTAAAATTCAAACCATACTCCATACTTTTTTTATTCAAATGCCAACATGAATAAATTAATCTCTTAATTTTTATTTCACCAAATAAAATACAAAAATCAAAACGTTTGTCACAAACTCACAATTGTAAACTTTATGAAGGGAAATTGAATGGACACATATCCGGATATGCCTAACACATCATGCGTTTGCCTCCATAATGTCAACATCAACTTAGGCACATTGTTGGTGATGACAAAATCTTGGACACTGATATGATATGAGACCAATTCGAATTAGTGACGAAAGAAAGAGGTGCACAACTTCACATAAAAACTATTTTTAATAACCCATTTTCTTTTCACGGACAACAAGCTCCACAAAACCCTATATTCAATAAAAACAAAAATACCTAATAAGCCTCGTGTAATGATTTCTGCACTAAAGTTCAAATTGAAATAGATTTTCGATCGGTTCATTTTTTTTATTTTTATTTTATGGTGAAATCTTAATATAGAAAGAACAATCATTATCATGTAGGCAAAGTCATGATATAGTATTATAGTATCGTCTTAGTTTTGTCTTTTTATTTTGTTTTTACTTGTAGAGATTAACAATGCAAGGGAACATCTCAATGGGAAAAGAACAGCTGAAAAGAGAACGTGTAGTAATGGTTGTATCTAATTACTATTACTAGATTAAAAATAATTAGGCTAAAAAGCTTTAAATAAAGGATGATGTAAATAAGTCATATAAAGAAGTCAAAAAAATATATAGGAAAAGGTTACTTCACGTGCTGAAATAAACGGTCTTTTAACAACATATCGATCTGTTTAAGAAGGGACCCGTGTTTACAACATCAAACTATAAACATCTATGCATAAATAAATACAAACAAAATTATAGTGAAACACTAACTAATATATCGACATGACTTTTTATAAGGTTTACAATGGATTAGATACAAAAACATCAATCAATCCAACAACCCTAGCAACCTTAACAAACAGGAAACAAAAGTATATTGCTAAAAGACCAACCGCCAGTGTTCGATCGAGTCGCATTTCCCTCTTGGTCAATACCACAAGAGCCCATAACAAACCACATATCATGAACCCTACTGTCTCACACAAATAAGGGTTCACCGGAACCATATAAGGCGCCGGATAATGTGACCAACAAGCAATCACAAACGAAAACCCTAATCCCACAAAGATGTTAAACACCGGTCCTGCATAACATCCAGTTATGGCAATTTGGGCCCCATCGGGCCCATCATGCATTGCCATCGCAACATTTGATGTCAAGTCACCAAGTGAGTTACCCCAAGCTAGGATAGTGAGCCCTAAAACTGAAGGATTCATCCCAATAATTGTCCCAAGTGACTCCAACAAAGAGACCAATTCCTCAGCTGTGATGTATGTCCATATGACACTCATTAGAAACCCACTTGCATGCCAAATGAACAAACACTTTTGTGGTGCCATGGCACTACTTGTGAAAGCAAATGTACAAGTCCCTAAAGCAAGCCCGATTACCAATGCTATAGACCATGTCACCATGGTAGCTTTTGTGACAACTAAGCCTTGTTGTGTGCTCAAAATAAGAGCCAACGTAACTGGGGCTAACGCCACCGAAATGACAGCATAAGGCTTGGACCATTTCTCTTTTGTTATCAATGGAATTGTAAGCTTTCTTGGCAAGTAAAGTGGCAACGCGGCAACATACAGAAGCAATAGGATGACACGTTTTCTGTGGGGTACAACTTTATCTGCAGAAGGTTTTCGTTTTTCTTGAGCATTAACAGAAGCCAGTAATGGTAGTCCGGGACCCTGATGATGATGGTGGTCATTTGGGATTTTTTGTTTCTTCTTGCTGATGAAATGCATGTAAGAGACTAGAGAAATGTAAATGATGTATGTGGAAGCAAAAAGAATGGATGCCCAGAAGCTGATTTTCCCAATTAGGATGATTACGAGTAGATTTGAAAGGGAAAAGAGGAGAAAAACAACGTCTCTGATGAAATTGGGTTTATCAACGATGACGACTTTCCGTCGGTAAGAGATTAATAAGCTGAGAATTCCGACGACGACGGTTGAAACGAAAATTGCCCCACCTAGGATACTGTTAAGGCCGATATCTCCGCCGTCTCCGGAAGCAGTGAAGGAGATTATGCTGGAGAAAACATCCGGTGAGCCGTTTCCTAACGGAAGAAGAGTGGTTCCGGCGATGGCGGGGGAGAGGTTGAGGAATTCTGACAGGTTTTCTACGGCAGGGCAGAAGTAATCGGAGGCGGTGTCGCTCAACACATAAAAGAGTATCAGGAGCCATAGGAGGAGGAGAAGGAAACCCAATTGAGGAAATCTGGATAGAGTACAGTAGAAGAACTTAAGGTAGTTGATGTAGCCTTTTGGGTGGCAATCGGCGTGTGTTTGTACGTACATGCATTTGGAGAGGGAGGAGTTGTGGTGGTGGACATTGGTGCAGGTGGTGGTTATGGTGTTGCTTAAGGGATATGCAGAGGAGGTGAGGTGGAAGGAGATGGTGATGAAGATAACAAGAGTTGTGTTGAGTTTTGAAGGTGCCATCGCCATTGCAATTTACAAAGAAACAGGAGAAACTTGAGTTTATTTGGAGCAGACGATTCATTTAGGTGGACCATGACGACAAACATTTATGGGGCTAAAGATGAAAGCTGATATTTCTGGTAGTCAAAATAATAAAGTGAATTTTTTTATATGAATAATTAGAACACTTTTTATAATTCTAAAAGGTGGTGTATTTTTTGATAATGGTTTAGCCACATTTCTTTTTTAGTCTTTTATATATTTTTTTATGAACGTTACCTACAAACTAAGGTGTGATAATTGTTTTATTTATGATTTTTTTAAATCAAATTTTAATAAAAAAACCATACTAACATTAAAACTATATTTTAAAAATCTTTAAAAAATAACATAAAATTAAAAATTAAATTAAAAACCTAGAAAAAAGAATAACATGAAGTAAAAAATAAAACAAAACAAAACGTAACATCCAAATTTAAATTGCGTGTAAGCTTTATATTTTCACGAATCCAAGCTTTTACCAATTTAGCCGCCTCCTGATCTTTGGGATTGAGGTGTTTCACATCTTGCATCAATAATGAATATTCTGTGAGTCGGACCCTTTCAGTCATGTTTATCTAAAGTTGTATTCAATTGTATCATTTGTGCCCTCATTTCTTCCGATCTAGTTGACAGTTCTGTTCCAACTGAAGAATTTGATGATGTCTCTTTTCTTTTTTCTTTTCCTTGAGTTTTTGTGTAAAGTTCATGTTTTCTGTTAGATTAAGGCATAGTCTGTAATCGTTTTAGTTAACCATTGTAATCTTTATATTAATGAATAATAAAAGATTATTCATATATTTATGTGCTTATGTGTTCTATAGGATAATAGGTGTATTTAATAATAAAATAAATTAAATTAAATTACACATCGAAGATAAAAGATTAATTATGAAAAGTAATCTTAACCTAGTTATAATATATGTCATAAGGATTACGGATATATAAGGAGCGTTCATATCCAACTTCATATGAAGAATGTATACTTCTTCGAAGTTTCGCGATTAAACCAGCACGACACTTCGTATTGTAAACAGTAGATTTTTGATAAATTACTTTTTAGTCTTAGTAATCTAAACAAAAGTCGTAGTAGTCGTTAAAACGAGAGTGTGCATATAGAGATCGTCCGAATCTAACTTCGTGAGAGGAAGTTATAATTTTTCTAAGATTCGGTATAGTAGTATTCTGCTCAAAAGTCAAATTTTAAATCGGTCGAATTTTAGCCAAAATAATTTAAACAATAGTTGAAAATCTCATTAATAGAAGTTCAACGATAAGTATATCGAAAATGGACACCGGATGAGAGAGTTATGCTTTTTATACGGGATTTTACAGTCTAAGCCTGTGTGAAAAATATAAAGTCAAATTAGCCAACAGATTCTAAACATAAGTTCTAGATATCGTTGAGAGATTTACGCAGATATAAAGAACATCAAAAACATAGTTTGTATAAATGTAGCGCCCGATTTCCGGTACGTATTTTTAATATAAGTTTTTGCATTTTTATACTGGGACTCGACGATTTTGAGGCCCCAACTCGTCGAGTAGATGCGAATCTTGGACGCGGGTGGAAGAATCTACTCGCCGAGTCGGAAGCCATGACTCGACGAGTATATATGTCTGGATGAAACCCTAAATTTAAGGGTTTGCACCCTATTTAAACAACACCCTCAGACCCTATTCTTGAAACGCTAATCAGTTTGTGAGTGTTATTGAGCTTTTGTGCCATTTTGTGTGTTTTTCAAGCTTGAGAAGAAATAGGAAGCTTGGGAGATCAAGAGAAAGCGAGCAGATCTAGAGATTTTGTCACATTCCCAACTCATTTGAGGTATAAAGTTTCTACCTTATTCATTTATTCATTATATCTCTCCATGGGGTAGTTTAGGGCCATTTGGAGCTCATTATGGAACCATTCATGGATGCAATCTTGCTTTGGTGTTAGGACTTCAGATCCAGAGTCTTAGAGGGACTCCACAGCATAAAGTTGCCAACTTTATAGCTGTAGGAGTCCCATGCATCTTATGGAACACTTTTTAGGACTTTATGGACTAGTTAACCCATTCATGCATGCAAATTTTGTAACTTTTCGTGCTATATCAATCCTAGGAGGTTAGATCTATGTTCTGGATGCATTAAGCCCGACTGAAATCGACTGGATAGACTTGGACTTTGGGGTACTCGACGAGTCGTTCATAGACTGAAATCGACTGGATAGACTTTGACTTTGACTTTGACCAAGGTTGACCCGTGAAGGGGTTTTGGGTAAGGAATGATATCTAAGGGATTATTGGATTTTGACTAAGTATTATGTTGGTAATGACAGCTCGATGAGACGTTAGAGCAGCCGTTAGAGATTACTTACCATGAGATTATGCATTCAGCTTTGCAAGGTGCGTTTTCTCCTATAATAATGGGTCGAAGGCACCAATGTTGTCCCGTTTATATATGTTAACATATTCTGGATTAAGGTCCGATATCGGGGCAGTGCCCGATGTATTTGTGTATGTGTTTTCGGACTCTAATGTCAGAGAAAGTCCGATGAATGTTTGTATGCTTGATGTCTTCGTGATTCTTGCATGTGCTTGTTTTGTATGTTTACGGACTTCGGTCCGATTCTGAGGAAAGCCAGAAGAATGTTTGTATGTTTCTAGATCTCGATCCGATGTCGGGCGGGGCCCGAGGAATTTTTATATGTTTATGTTATGTGTTTATTTATATGTATTTGATGGTATGTTATATGTATACCGAGCTTTACTCGATGCCGGGTGGGGACCAATGCCAGATTTGAGTCCGATGTCGGGTAAGGCCCGATACCAGACTTCGGTCCAATACTGAGTGGGGCACGATGTAGCGGGCAAGGCCCATCTTATGTTATTATGTGATTGTGTGATTATATGTATGGTATGTGGTAGTTTGGGGAGACTCGCTAAGCTTCGTGCTTACAATTTTTAGTATTGGTTTAAGGTACTGCTGGTAGCAAGGGGAAGAGCTCGAGATGATTGTAGTGCTGTTAGGTGTGTCAAACCCAACAAATAAAGGGGTAAAATAACTCCTTAAACACTACTACTTTGTACTAGAAATGTAATACAAGGTAAGTAGGGTCGATCCACAGAGACACGGAACAAATGTTTATACCTTTTTGCGGAAGGTACAATAATGGTCACATAAATGGGGGGTTGGTATGCAATGATTTAAACAAAAGAATAAAGCAATAAGTAAATGATCAATTAAATGAAACAAATTCAGGATTTGTGAGAACTCCAACTCTATGCAAGACAAATTAGCAATGTGATTCCATGGATGACAAGATATTTGTTTAATTCTATCTAAGTTGGTACTTGAAAGTGTTAACAAGCTCTAACACTTCCCATTCACCACAATAACTAACCAAAACAAGCTCTTCGATTTATCCTAACCTTACCAATCTAATCTAAACAAGCTCTTAGAATTAGGTTGAAAGATTGCATTAAACTTTATGTGAATGTTCCCACCAATAATCAATACTCCTCATAAGCTCGGGAGCATAAGAATGTGTGAATAGATTTACACTAATTTCATTCAATAGAAATCAGATTAGTGCTTGTTACCTAGTCCAATTTACTAAACAATTATGGATTTTGCAATTAGATAACTTGAATGATCTAATCCTAATTCAAATGGCCAATAAGAATCACAATTAGAATCAAACATTCGATTGAGACAAAATCAAATTCACTAGATAGAAAATTGAAAGCAAACATCAAGTCATATGATTGAAATCACATCCAAATGTCAAGACATAAAGTTGGAGAATTTAGGGTTCTAGTCACTCATGGTTAGAACAAGATCACAAATCTAGAAAATGAAATTAAAGTTCTTACAAAATGAAATCAAATGTTCCCAAGTGTTAATCAACTTCAAAATCCTCAAGAAATTCGCCTTCTCTACTCCAAAAGTTGACCCCCCCAAAGTAAAAAGTCGGTTCCCCCTTTAAGAATGGTGAAAAAATGCTTTAAAACCCACGTTTACGTTTACACGGCCCGCGTAAATTAACACTGTCATTTACACGGCCGGTGTAAACGCAAAAGCATACTGTGCAGAAATCTACGTTTACACGGCCCGTGTAAACGCAAGACTTGTATTTACACGGCCGTGTAAATCTCTGTAAAGCCAAAATGTTCTTTTCTTTGATATCTTGCTCCTCGGTGCTCCCTAAGTCCCGAAATTTTGTCCGCAACTTTTATTTACCTCCTCCAACAAGATCCTACCTCCAAAAGTCCCTGAAATATCACAAAAGTATTTGAATGAAATTGCCTCATGAAAAATCCCGAAAAACATGCAAAATGCATGAGTTTAAGCCTATATGCAATGTACTTTTATAAAATAAAGCTACAAAATGGGTACATGAAATGCACCTAACAAGTGCAGACACCATTTATTCAGCCTGGGATGTTTTTACTCTGATATGTTTGACAAATGTTTTTGATATTTTGAGATACATGACTTATGATTTTATGTGATGAATTGTTAACTATGGTTTTATTGATGATTTAAAAATTAAATTTTTGGATTGTATTTTTGGGATGTTTCATATAATGCACTCTCTAATGAACTCGATGCAAGTAATGATTGGTTGTTCATGACCTTGTTCTAGCTTGTTGTTAAAAGCTTCACACAGATTATTAAGTAGAGCCTCATAATGTGATCTCCCTAAATATAAACATTTTGAATGTCATTAATTGTGATTCAAACATAAACAGTTTGTGTTTCTAAGTTTATTAAGTAAATATAATTACCTATGAAATGAGAAGGAGCCAAATGTTGAGGAGGTATTTGTGTTCAGCCACTCGTAATAGTCATTGTTAACTTTCCTTAGTTGTTCCACAACTTTATGAAACTGCTGTACATTACAGGTCGTGGCACAATCCCAAAGAAGATATTTGAACACCGATCCCCTCCATCTCAATTTCATGTTCTCGTGTATGTGACGAAGATAATAACGATACTCT